TATAGAAATATGTATATTATATACATGTGTGTATGTCTCTGTATATGCAATATACATGTTTTTATAGTTTGATTATTCTCGTCTATCCAGAAGTACTCAGGTAATCTTCTCTTTTTTTTTTTCTCATTCATTCATTGTTGCAAATTTTCCTCCTTGCCCACCTCTCCCCCTCAGTTTGCTTTTCTCTTTGAAAAGAAAAAAAGTCTTTCATTGTTATACAATCTCTTGCCCCTCCAAGTCCACAGTCCCCTTTACTATGCATTTCGTTTTCTAGAATCTTGTCATGAAAATAATACCTAATTATATATTCCTTTTAAACAGTTTTCTCCCTTATCTGTTTCAATGCAGTGTACATTATTTATCCCCTCTTTTCTTAGGTTTCCCCCACAACCCTGATGTCAGTCTGTTTTATAACAGTGGCATTATGCAGTATTTGTCCTTTTGTGACTGAGATATTTCATTCAGCATAATGTCCTCCAGGGTCACCCATTTTGTATAATATTTCATGAGTTCCTTGTTTTTCAATGCTGCATAGTATTCCATTGTGTGAATATACCACAGCTTCTCTATCCATTTGTTTGAGAGTTTTTCCAACTCTTTGCTATTGTGAACAAAGCTACAATAAACATGAGTGTGCATATATCTGCCTGGGTGGCAGATATGGTTTCTTTAGGGTATATTCCCAGTAGTAGAATTTCTGGGTCAAATGGTATTTCTATTTCCAACTTTTTGAGAAAGTGCCATACTGCCTTCCATAGTAGTTGCATCATTTTACACTCCCACCAACAGTGAATAAGGGTTCCAGTTTCTCCACAACCTCACCAGCATTTGTTGTTTGCTGCTCTGTTGAATTTTGTTATTCTTAGTGGGGTGAGATGATATCTCGTAGTTGTTTTGGTAATCTCTTCAAAAAGTCAGCTACTGAAAAATCCCCATGGAACACCGTTCTATTCTAACATGTATGGGACCATCATGAGTTGGAATCTGCAGGAAGTAAGTGGTTTTATATGTAGTACATGTGGAAAAATATCCAGAAAACTCTACCATTATGAAGTCATAGAATGAAGTAATGAATTAATATTAAGAATAATTTTTAAAGTGAAAAGAAATTACCAAAGGGTAGCACAAGAGTTTTGCGTAGAAGGTGTTAGGACAGGTGAAACTCAGTTAATTAGAAGATATGAGTAGATTTTGTGGAAAAGTATTCATATAATAATAGTAACAGTGATAGTAATGGCAGCTAACATTAATGAACACTTAGAACAGTGTCAGGAACTGTTCTAAGAATTTATATTTAAGGTCTGTCTTGTTCTCTGTCCTCCTGACCAGGCCTTCAATGTTAGCCCTATTTATCAGACTTGAGCTACAGGTCTAGGCTCAGGTTTTCACTCTCTGATCATTGAATTCCCCAGGCTTTCAACACACTGTTCCTCAGAGCGATTGAGCAGGCTGACAAGGTGGAGGACCCGCGGGAGCGCATCTCCAGCCTAATGGAGAGCATCACGCAGAGCGCCTTCCTCTACACCAGCCAGGCGCTGTTTGAGAAAGACAAGCTCACCTTCTTGTCCCACATGGCTTTTCAGGTAAGGCAACCTGTCTCTCTTTAAAGCAATCCTAGAGCCTAAATTGGACAACTTTGTTCACTCTATGTTTTACTTCTGCTGGCAGAAATCAGACTGTTGAAAAGATATTTCAATGGTAAGAGGAGAGTTTGAATCTCCCACCAAGATTGTGGGCATGTGACATACTTCTCCCATGTCCAACATTGTGCATTGCTTTGGGGTTGACATGCACTTTGAGCTGCCACCATAGTTATCCTTTGAAGAACAGATGCATATGATGTTGTCCTCTACTTTGCAAATCCTACAAAGGGGCTTCTAGGTGATACCAAGGCTGTTCCTCAAAGATCAAAGCCGTTAATCTGGGTGTGAATAGTCCCATGAGTTTCTCATAGGAGCTTGTAGGAAACAGTTTCTTGTAGGAAACAGTTTCCTTTAGGAAACATTGAATGGGTCAGGAGACCAACACATATCATGCCCTTACCTTCAGTCAGCTTTCCTTTTACTTCTTATGTGGATTTCTGAAAAAGTTTCGTCTAAGTCAGGATGCCTATGATGAGGACAACAATCAGGGTTCCTTTCCTCAATGATATGAGGATGCATCCTTGGTGGCTTGCTCTGCCAGTACAAAGGCACTCAGTTTGAATCCACGAGCCAGTATGCAAGTGAAAGATGGCCAGTCTCCTTCAGTGCTACTTACTGCCTTGCAAACCCACTGCAGGGTCAGTTATGCATCCATTCTGACTCACAGTATACAACAACCCCCTTTAATTAACTAATCTGCTGATCAGTACAAACTTAAAGGAAAGATCTCCAACTTAGCTCTTTTGTTTCCTTCAAAGTGCCTTGTACATAGAGGCATCTTAAAATATATATTGATACAAATCAGAGGTATGCGGTTCAAATCCACCAGATGCTCTGCTGGAGAAGGAGGGGGCAATCTCCTCCTGTACTAGTCAGATCTGATTTGATGGTACACATAAAAATAATACAATAAAAATAAAAAAATTAATAGATACAAATCATGAACTACTGCTTATCTGTTAATTTTATGTTCGTACTTCCTATTCCTTTGGATTGTATGAGAATGTAGATGTTTAACTGTTTAATAATATACATAAAGAGGAGTAAAGAATTTTTCTACCTATTTCTCATTAACAGTGAATATTTCTTTCATACATATTTCCAAGAATTATATATACTATGTGCATATATATGTGAACATCTATTTGAAACTTCTTGAAGTCTTGAGTGAACTGTAACCTTTCTCAAATCTTGACAGTCTTTGTAAATTAAAGCTTCACATTCATATGAACAAATACTTGTTAGAAGAAAGAACCAAAAAGTTTTCATTAAAGTAAAATGCTGTATTATTTTAATGCATATTGTTGTTGTGTGCCATCAAGTTGGAACCAACACATAGCTGATCCTCCAGCGGGTTTTCAGAGGTAGTAAATCAAATGGGGAAAGATTGTCCATCCTCTTCCAACAAAGCAACTGGTGGATCCAAACTCTATGCCTTTGCAGTTGAAGTGCAGCTTCTTACCACAAGATACCAGAGCTCCTTGCATATTTCATTACTTAATTTTGAACCCATAATTAATTTTTACAATATCTCTAGTTTTAAAATAGCATCAAGTGCAAACATTTTCTTTCCCATCTTAATAGTATGTCACAAGGGAGCCCTGGTGGTTCAGTCCATAGCAAGTTGCGTTGCCAACACACAGGCTGCACATCTCCAGTGGGTCAGATTCCCCAGCGGCTCCCCAGGAAAAAGATGGGCAGTCTCCTCTCTCCTCCATTATAATTTACCACCTTGGGAAAGAAAGCCAGGGGGGAACTCACTATTCACTATGAATCACCATTGAGATTGAGTCCGGTGAGGTACTTTAAAAATATATATAACAGCTTCAATGTGAGAATGATGTATATTTTGTTCCCCCTTCCAAAATATTCTGGATGTACAGTCAGCTATATAAACAGAAAGTTTAAAATTTGTTTCAACTAATGTTGTATTTAGTTGTATTTATATTTTTTTCTCAATATAATCTCATATATAATAAAAATCTTTCATACATCTAATAGTTTCTTGGATATAATTTCTACAACAGGACTAAGATACAATGTTAGTTTTCCTCTCATTATTAATTCAGTCCACTTTCACCTGAGGCTTATTCATGCCATATAGTAAGCTTTAGGGGAAGCTTGATCTAACAAGAATAGATTAAACAAAGAAACATATCAGATGCACTAATAGGCATGAGTAATAGAATTGAGGGGAAAGCAACCTTGGTATTTATTTCTTATTTGAATTCCACCAGTGGTTATGAGATCACTTGTAAAATCTTAAAAAAAAAAATAAAATCTTCATTTAAACTAAAACAGTAAGTTCTCAGCTGACTCATTCATGTCTATTAAATGATGACTACTTTCTTTATTGCAATTGTGATACAAACCAAATGACTCTTTTCAATTTGTGTACTCTTAAGATTTTGTTGAGGAAGAAAGAGATAGATCCACTTGAATTGGATTTCCTGTTACGATTCACAGTAGAACACTCTTACCTGAGTCCTGTTGACTTTCTAACTACTCAGTCATGGAGTGCTATTAAGGTATGGTAAGAAAATGGTTTTTCACTTTCTAAATCCATATTTCAAATTTCAAGTCTTTTAGCTTTGGAAATTTGGTTTACAAAATCCTGGTCCTATAAGGCATCATTCTAGTTGTAAAAAAATCTATACTGTCGTGCTCTTTACTAATCTTTGTGTTATATATTTATTCCTTTTCTATTTAGAAATAAAAGAGCATCTACTCTCTTCTTTGGTAGAAGTGTTATAAATGTACTTGTAAATGTGTCGGTGCTTACAATAAAGGCCTATGAGTGTAATTGAACTTTTTTGCAATTTAGTATGACTCTAACTTGATCCTGTGTTTCTTTTGCTATGTTTCTCCACTATTTCAAAATACAGTTTTAATACTATGTTAATTAATCTGATTGTAACAGTGCAGATATTGTGAGGAAAAAAATGAAAGCCGTTCATCTACCACAATTATTAATCCTGGTTCCATTTTTCTGCCAGAAGATTTTATTTCCAGCCATTCTGGAGCTTCTTTAAATCACTGGTCAATTAAATCCCTACTTAAATAGGGATTTAAGCTTTGTACTAGTCTTTTTTCCAAGAGGAATAATGTTCTTATACATTGAAAGCATTGTATTATAGGGAGCTCTGGTGGCCTAGTGGCACAAAGCTGCACTGCAATCCCAGAGGTGCATGGTTGAAATCCACCAGATGCTCTGCTGGAGAGGGAGGGGCCATCTCCTCCTGTACCAGTCAGATCCTATTTGACAGTACACACACACAAAATAATAAAAAAAAATAATTTTTTAAAAAGAAAGTATTATATTTTACCTTGGTTTTATAATAAGTTTAGATTTTATTTTACTTTGTAAAACTTTTAATTAGGCTATAATTTTAGAATTATGAGTTGAGGCTCTATTCCAGTCAGAGTTTTAGCAGAAAGTAGAGGGCACATTCAAAGGGGTGATGAAGAGAGTGTAATGAGACATGTATCTTTACAGTATGGATAAGAAGGGTAGGTATCAATCATGGGTGATGTAGAATGGGGAGTAGTTGGTGGTACTATCGAGAACTCAATCTCTAAGAGTAAACCTACCCATGGGAGCTATGGCCTCTGAGGGAAGAACAGCTGGTGCCAATCCCTTTTGGAGGAATCCATTTTTTTTTCTATTCTCTCTCTCCCTCTCTTCCAGCCCTTCAGTCTCCTGCGGGGCCTCCTATTCATCAAACCCAACCAGCCTAGAGATTCAGGGAGCTCAGTTCCAGTGGTTCTTAGATAACCCTCTAAATTGGGTAGAAATTGGTGCAGATTGAAGGTGAAGAGGGAAATGAAGTGTGTCTAGTAACATTTCTTTACATCAGATGAGAGCCATTCATTCCTAAGTCTCTAACTTAAACCCATAAGCTATTTTATATACCATTCCTCTTGTTCCTGTATGGTATTATAGGCAGTTGCCCTCATGGAAGAATTTCGAGGCATCGACCGAGATGTGGAAGGATCTGCCAAACAGTGGAAGAAGTGGGTAGAATCCGAGTGTCCAGAAAAAGAAAAGTTACCACAAGAATGGAAAAAGAAAAGCCTGATACAGAAGCTTATTATTTTACGAGCTGTGCGCCCTGACAGAATGACATATGCTCTCAGGTAGGCCCATCAGCATTTTCAGAAATGCAAGTTAACTCAGAGGCATGTCACTTCAGATAAAGTAACTGGTGGAGATAGAAGTGGGATAGTAAGGAAATGTCAATAGTTAATACTTTCAACCAAAAGCTTAACAATTTAAGTCTACTCAGAAGTTCTTCAGAAAAAAGTTCTGAGAATCTCCTTTTTTTTTTGTTGTTGTTTTGTTGGTTTGGTGTTTGTTTTTTTTTTCACTTATTTTTAAATTTTAATGAAAGCTTACAGACTTTGGATTTCCATTCATTCATTGTTGCACACTTTTCTCCCTGCCTACCCTCTTTCCCCCAGTTGTTTTTCTCTTTGAAAAGTGAAAAAAAATTCTCTCATTGTTATACAGTCCTCCCCGCCCCCCAGTCCACTATATTAGGCAGTTTTCATTCTGGACTCTTGTCATGACAATAATACCTAAGGTATTCCTTCTAAACAGTTCTTTCCATCATCTGTTTCAATGTAGTATACATTATTTATACCCTCTTAATTCCCTGCCCCTGATGTCAGTCCTATTTTACAGCAGTGGCACTATGCAATATTTGTCCTTTTGTGACTGAGATACTTCATTCAGCATAATGTCCTTCAGGGTCTCATATATTGTATAATATTTCATGAGTTCCTTGATTTTCAATGCACTATAGTATTCCACGGCTTCTCTATCCATTCATTTGTTGATGGACACGTGGGTTGTTTCTAATTCTTTGCTATTGTGAACAAAGCTACAATAAACATGGGTGTGCATGTATCTGCTTAGGCAGCAGTTCTTGTTTTTTAGGGTATATTTCCAGTAGTGGAATTGCTGGGTCAAATGGTATTTCTATTTCCAACTTTTTGAGAAAGCGCCATACAGTCTTTCATAATGGTTGCACCATTTTACACTCTCACCAACAGTGAATAAGGGTTCCAGTTTCTCCACAACCTTGCCAGCATTTGTTCTTTGCAGTTCTGTTAAATTTTGCTATTCTGACTGGGGTGAGATGATATCTCATAGTTGTTTTGATTTGCATCTCTCTTAAAGCTAGAGATTTTGAACATTTCTTCACGTGTTTGCCATCTGAACATCTTCTTTGGTGAAGTGTTTATTCACATCATATGCCCATTTTGCAACTGGATTGTTTGCCTTTATCTTGTTGTGGTGCTTGAGTATTTTATAAATTCTAGATATAAGTCACTTATCAGACATGTCATTACCAAATATTTTTCCCCGTTCTGTGGCTTCCCTTTTTACCCTGTTGGAGAAGATTTTGGATGTGCATAGGGATTTGATTCTTAGAAGTCTCAGTCATCTATTTTATCCTCTCCTGGTTGTAGGTTTTTCAGGATGCTTTAAAGACTGTTTATGTTGTGGATTAGGGCTTCTAGAGTTCTTCCAACTTTGCTCTAATAAAGAATCTCTTTTTTGAAAAAAAAAATCAGTCATTAAAGACCTGTTAAAGAGTTCTGTTCTGACACACATGGAGTTGTCATCTTGTTATATGCTGTTGAGTGAGAACCAACTCATAACTGGCCCTTCAGAGGGTTTTTCAGAGAATTTCCAGAGGCTTGAAGTTACACAGGATGAGATTGCCCATGTTTCTCCCATAGAACAGCTGGTGGGTTCGAACCATGTACCTTTGGGTTGGTAGTGCAGGTCCTTATCACTAGGCCACCAGAGTTCCCTTGGGGTTATCATGAGTCAGAGTCAACTGAAGTCAATTAGTTTACTGGTTTGTTTTTTTTTTTAAGTCATAGTGATGAAACTACAGAGATTGCTATAGTCTAGTCACTATTAGTGTTAACTTTCCTAAATACTATGCTAGTCTCAAGACAGACTCAGCACATCTCTCCTCAAAAGCTCAATTCTGAAACCAGGTGAAGGGACAAGAAATGGGTGAAAATATTCTTAGAAGAGAGATAGGTGTCAGCAGAGTTCAGAAGGAAGGAGCATGCATTATCCAAGTGTAATTTCCATCGTCTTTATTTAGTGGTGACATTTTGGCTTTTAAGATTTTGCATGTCAAGCAAAAAAATGAATTCCCTTCATGAAGACACTTGGAGTCCTATAACTTCATAACCAATGCAATTTAAAAGCAGAAACACCAGTCTACATCTGTGTTCAATTGTCCTTTTCCCCCTCTGCCCTCTTGGCTTCTAAATGGTTATATGCTGTTTGGTGCACATAAGGCATATTCTAATTTGAATTCACCGACCAAAGCATTTTCCCTTCCTCTCCTCTCAGACTCCTTTCTTCAGGAGAGCCCATATACCTCTGATTCCTTCCTTCCCTCTTTCTATTCAGCCAGTGTTTGCATCCACCGAGGCCTCTGCTGAGCCCCACCTTATGAGTTGATTCTTAGCAGGACTTTCTGCTCAATCTGATGCTGCTGGAAAATAATCCCTGCTTAATTGAGCTTCCCTGTTAGAAACACCCCAAAAAGCGTTTGTATATTCATGAGAAAACCAGCAGGCTGGAAAATTGCACTGTGGCACATCTAATGAACTGTTCATAAGTAATAGCAGAATCTGGCAGGGGTTTGGGGGACACAAAGCCATGGGCAGGCAGCTGATGGTACCCAGAAAGAGCGTCTCAGTAGCCTCTAGAATGCAACATAGGCTTCTAAAGACAACCGTGACTTTACTGCTTAAAAACTCCTGTGTAAACCTAGCTATATTCCTATCGTCCTTCTAGCAAGACAGCTAATAAATACAATGGTCGTTTCTCTCCTGTGTCTGAGGTTTAAGCTTTACCCAAGTTATGACTCTTTCCAAGGTCAAAACCACTGTTCTCCTTTTTTTTTAATTTCTTTTGCATAACTTATTTTCTTATTTGTAACAGGAATTTTGTGGAGGAAAAACTGGGTGCAAAGTATGTTGAGGGGACCAGATTGGATTTAGCAAGAGCATTGGAAGAAAGCAGCCCCGGCACCCCAGTGTTCTTCATCTTGTCTCCAGGAGTAGATGCCCTTAAAGACCTGGAGGGCCTCGGTGAGTGGCCAGGAGGCTCGCAGGCCAGCCCTCCACCCCTCCCACCGCCCTCCCTCCTGCTTACCCTCCTCCATGCAGTCCTGCCTTTCCGTTAGTTCATAGTTCTCTTACTTCCTTTTTTCTTTTTTCATTTGTTGGAGATTGGGTGTATGGGAAATGGAAGGCTAATAACACTGTAGTCTGAAGAAATCATCAAAGGGAACATTCCTCCAGTTGGCATAATGCAAGTTTCTTTTGTGCCGTTTCCTACCTTTTGACTAGATGAGGGCCAGAGGGCAATTTTCTCCATGCTCATGTAATCGCGTGCCCCCTGTGACTAAATAATGGTCATTAGAGCAAGTATATTCGATTGTGCAAGGCCCAGTCGCTTTGTGTGCTGGATTACTATTCCCTGCGGCCTGTACCGAGAATACCAGGTTAATATAGCTGTGACCTGACTGTGCTCAATTTGAATGCGGCCTCACAAGGTGAGAGGCTGGTGCATTTACCCAATGAACCAATCCGTTAAAAAAATGATGTGATATCTACCACATGTTGCTCTTTTTTTATCTGGGAAACGCTTTGCTACTGCAGCAAGAGTTTATAAAGCTCAATAACAATGCCTGCCATCTATCAAAATGTCAAAAGCTTCATTATCCTAAAACCGGAGGAATGATTTCCACAGGCTTTTCTAATGTTTGCCCTGAAAGGCAACCATAGAGAGCTCAAAACGCTGCTTTGTGGAAACGAAAGAGGCTTCGTTTGGATCATTCAGGAAAAGGGCTCTGAAGATGGCATCAATGGCCATAAAAGTTCATATTCTCCACTCCACTCCTCTATACACTTCTCCACTCACTGTGTTGTATCCCCCTCCCCCCACAGGCAAAAAACTCGGGTTTACAATTGACTCGGGCAAATTCCACAATGTGTCTTTAGGACAAGGACAGGAGATGGTGGCAGAGATGGCCCTGGAGAAAGCTTCCCGAGGAGGGCACTGGGTCATACTCCAAGTGAGTATTACATTTTCATGGAATACGTTGTGCATGAGCACAGTTGGCAGAGCGGCTCTGCCCCGTTCCAGCAGAATGGCCCATTACCATCAGATGTGATGACCTGAGGAGTATTCTCTTGTCTTCAGGATGCTGAGAATCATACACAACAGCACTTAACAATAACAACAACTTCTGTTCAACAAGCGCTGGCAGTGGTAGGGGCTACACTTCTAACCAAAAGATCAGCAGTTCAAATGCAGCAGCTGCTCCTGGGGGTGGGGCGGTAAGATGGTCAGTCTCCTCCAGTGAATGCTCACAGACCCCAGTAGAGGGTTGTTATGAGTCAGAATCAATTTGGTGGCAGTGGGTTTGGTTTTGGGGATATCATTTCTCTAAAGAGTGCTGGTGCCAGAGAGATTAAATGAGGTAAGACGGAACAGGGACAGGACTTAGAGGAACGAGGAGATCTAACCTAATGGGAACCTGTTGTATTGTTTGTAATTTACATTAAATTGTGTTAGTGTAGGCATGTGATAGACATATAAACGGTAATTACTTCTCAACCAGATCTTAAAATAGTCTGTTACTCTGCTCAGGTGCAGCTTCCCAAGGTAGTTTAACTAGCATTTTATTCAGGGAGCTCTGAGGCAGAGTCTGTAGAGACTGGAACTATTACCTCAAAGGCTATATGTTGGGGTGGGTAAAGGTAAGGAGAAAGAGCCAGTGTGAAAAACAATGTGTACAAACTTTGTAAATAAACCAGTATGAGAAAAAATTGATTAACTGGGAATACCAAGCATGCTTGATATAAAAGTGACATTGCTATTATTGTAGCACTAGTGATGTTTAGCCTAACGTGTCAGGCTGTTCACCAAAAGATCAGCAGTGGGGACCTGCCAGCTGTTCTGAGGGAAGAATGTGGGTAGTCTTTTCTTATTAAGTTTTATGAGTTGAAATAAAAAAAATTTAAAATGAGTTGATATAGTTACTTTAACAATAGACTCAACAGAGAAACAATTGTTAAAAAAAGGGGAGGGGAAAGCTATGTATTTCTGGTGATTCGAATTTTCCCACCAGCAGCTCTGAGGGAGAAATGCGGACAGTTAGTTCTCATTGCAATCAACAGCCTTGGAAACCCAAGAGAGGAACACATGAGTCCAAACCGACTGCATGGCAGTGAGCGTGAATTTTTTGAGTTATCAGGACACATAATGACTATGAAGACAGAGAAAAAGAGATGACAAAGGCGGGAAAAAACCTTAGAAGAGTGCAGCTTTTTTTGTTTCTTTGTTTTAATTGTAGTTTGTTGGTGCTTAGAATATGCACAGGGAACTTTGGTGGCTTAGTGGTAAGGGATTTTACTGCCAACACAAAGGTATGTAGTTCGAATCAACCAGTTGTTTGGGAGAAGAAAGATGAGTAATCTCCTCCCATGTGATTTACTGCCTCTGAAAACTCACCGGAGGGTCAACCATGGCTCAGTTCTGACCTGAGAGTACACAACAACAACAACAAGAATATACACAGAAAAGCACACTATTCAACCGTTTCTACATGTACAATCCAATTATACTGATTATATTCTTCAAATTATCTAATCATTCTCTCCTTTTCTGAGTTATTCCTCCCTTTATTACTACTCTTTAATTTCCCCATCTAATCTTTTCTATTAATGTTGTTTTGATCCCATAGAAATAGTAGTCATTAAAAGAGCATAATCTTCAAGATTTTGTTTTTTAACTAGTTAAGATAAACTTTTTGTTATGTGCCTTATTTGAAAGCAGGAGTGGCATCCACTTCTAAACAACATGCCTCTGGAAACTCTATAAACTTTGATAAATGACAATAGTTATAGAAAGGCTTCAGGCCTTTTATTCATAGGATTGCTATGAGCTATGGTCAACTCAACAGCAATCAACAACAACAATGTTCCTTAGAGTCAGTACCGACAGCTGATCCTCTCGAGGGTCCATAGAGGCCATAAACAACATGGGAGGAGATTGTCCATCTTTCTCCTGCCTAGTAGCTGAAGGAATTGAACCACATACCTTTGGGATGGCAGTGCCAAGGCAATTTGAGGAGACAAAGCCAAGAATTATAATGGAATGTGCAAAGATATGGAGTTGAAGACTGAAAAAGGAAGGGCTCATTCAGCATTTTTCAAACTGAAAGAATGAAAAACAAATACAATTCTCACGTTGCAATACTGACAAAACACTGTGGGGGAAATCTTGAACAACCCAGGAAGCAAAAGAAGGTAAAGTCACTGTACAGAAAAGAACCGGACAACACTGAAATATTTCAGGAAGTAGCATACGATAAAGGGAAGGCATTGACAAAAAATAAGGCCCCAGGAATCAGTGAAATATCAATTGACATATTTCAATTAACAAGTATAGTTCTGAATGTGCTTACTACGTTGTGCCAGGAAATTCGGAAGACAGTTATCTGGCCAGTTGACTGAAGAGATCCATATTTGTTACTATTCTCAAGAAAAGTGATCCAACAGGGTGTGGAAATTATCCCAAAATATCATTAATAGCACATGTAAGCTCTGGTGGCCTAGTGGCAAGAAGCTGTGCTACAATCCTAAAGGCACATGGTTTGAATCCACTAGCTGCTCCATGGGAGAAAGTCGGGCATTCTCTTTCTGTGTGATTAACTGCCTCTGAAAACCTGCTGTAGGGTCAGCTGTGGGTTAGTTCCAACATGACGGTACACAACAAACAACAAGAAGCAGCAGCAAAATATTGCTGAAGATCATCCAAAAATGGTTAGAACAGTACACTGGGAGAGAACTGCCAGAGGTTCAAATTGGGTTTAGAAGAGACAGTGACATCAGGGATATTATTGTTGATGCTAGATAAAACTTGACTGAAAGCAAGGAATATTAGAAGATTGTCTTTTTGTGTTTTATTGACTATACAGAGGCTTTTGACTGTGTGAATCATAATAAACTGTGGATAACCTTGATAAAAATGGGAATTCTAAAAAATTTATTTATGCTTATATGAAATTTATACCTCAACCAAGAAACTGTTGTCCAGATAGAAGAAGGGAACACTGTATGGTTTAAAATCAGGAAAGGTGTGTGTCAGGGCTTCATCCTTTCTCGATAACTATATAATCAGTATGCTGAGCAAGTCATTCAAGAAGCTGGACTATAGGAAGAAGAGTGTGGCATCAGGACTGGAGGAAGACTCATCAGCAATCTGCATTGTGTGGGTGATAAAATCTTGCTTGCTGAAGTGAGGAGGACCTGAAGCACTTGCTGCAGAGGATTGAGGACTGCAGTATTCAATATGGATTATCTCTTAACATCAAGTTGTTGTTGTTGTTGTTGTTATGTGCCGTCGAGTCGTTTCCAACTCATAGCGACCCTATGCACAACAGCCCTAAACCCTGCTCTATCCTGCGCCAACCGCACTGCCTCTGACACACCCATCCCGATTACCCCAGTCACTGAATCGATCCATCTCATAGAGGGTCTTCCCCTCCTGCGCTGTCCCTCAACCCTCCCAAGCATGATGTCCCTCTCCAAGGACCCGTCCCTCCTGGCAACATGTCCAAAGTATGTCAGACGAAGCCCCAGAATCCTTGCCTCCAAGGAGTAGCTTGGTTTAATCCTCTCCAAGATAAATCTGTTTGTTTTCCTGGCAGTCCAGGGTACATTCAGTACCCTTCTCCAGCACCACAGCTCAAAAGCATCCACTCTCCTTCTGTCCTGCCTAGTCATTGTCCAACTCTCTGATGCATAACAAGCGATTGCAAATACCATGGCCTGTATCAGGCGCACCTTAGTCTCCAGAGAGACACTGTTGCTCCTGAGTACCTTTGAGAGGTCCCTAACAGCAGACTTTCCCATCGCGATACGCTTTTTGATTTCCTGACTGCTGGTGCCAAGAGTGTTGACTGTGGAGCCGAGCAAACTGAAGCTGTGAACACTCTCAATCTCTTCGTCATCCATCCTGACGCTGCCAGTTGGTCCAGTGGCGAGAATCTTTGTCTTCTTGACATTGAGCCTCAGTCCATACTGAAGGCTGCAGTCCTTGACCCTTCGCAGCAAGTGCATGAGGTCCTCCTCAGTTTCAGCAAGCAGGGTTGTGTCATTAACATCAAGAGAAAACAAAAATCCTCACCACTGGGGCAATAAGCAACATCATACTTGATGGAGAAAAGACTGAAATTGTCAATGTTTTCTTCTTGCTTGGAAAACCCAGCAAAGATGGGTTTTGATATTTTAGCAGTTTAATGAAGTATAATAACTGAAAGCTGGAAATGAGGCTGTGCCCCCAAACATCCCCCTCATCATCTTTAACAGAAACTCCTGCTCAGACTCCTACTTATTAGTATATTGTTGTTATGTGCCGTCGAGTTGCCTGTGCCTCATAGTGACCCTATGTACAATAGCACTAAACCCTGCTTTATCCTGTGCCAATCTTATTGTCTCTGGCACACCTACCCCCATCACCCCAGTTACTGAATCAATGCATCTCATCAAGGGTCTTCTTCTCCTACAGTGTCCCTCCACCCTCCCAAGCATGATGTCACACTCCAAGGACTGATCCCACCTTACAACATGTCCAGTGTATGTCAGACAAAGCTTCAGAATCCTTGCCTCCAAGGAGCAGCCTGTCTTCACTCTCTCTAGGACAAAACTTGTTTTTCTCCTAGCAGTCCATGGTATATTCAGTACTCTTCTCCAGCACCACAGCTAAATGAAACCAATTCTCCTTATATCATCTTTAGTCATTGTCCAGCTTTCTGATGCATATCAAATGATTGCAAAGGCCATGGCCTGTAACAAGCACACCTTAGTCTCCAGACTGACATCATTGCTCTTCAGTACTTTGGAGAGATCTCTGACAGCTGACTTTCCCAATGCAATTCATCTTTTCATTTCCTGGCTGCTGGTACCAGAAGTGTTGGTTATAGAGCCAAGCAAACTGAAGCTGTGAACAATCTCAATATTTGTTAGTATAGTAAGTGAAGAAAGGCTAGCAGATAAGGAAAGCAATCATTCTCTGTTAAGATGCTCTGGAAAAAAGCTATGATGAAGGCACCAGGCTGGAAACTCTCTTGATATCAGATCCACACCAGATGGTCTGTGAATTAGCATAATGGTTTTTAAAAAATCATTTTTCATTGCATGGTTTTCAAGATGTGTGGATTGGCTAAAAGTGTTGTGCAGGTACTGCCACCCATGAGTGAATGAGGCACAATTGCACCAGCCTCAGGGCCTGTTATCGCAAAAGTGGCTCCCAGGCAGGAAGCCAGAGTGTGTTGTGCCCCACCGTGACTGAATGGAGGGCATTCTATCCCCTAGCTCCAAAGCCTCTCCCAGGAATATGTCTACATTGATTTCACATAAACCTTTTAAGGAGCGGAACTGTGGTCACCTGTGACAAGAGAGGACATACGAGATATGCCAAAGCAGATTTTACAGATATTCTTATTTCTGCTTACCAATTTATGTTTGTAGGTATGGCACAATTAGGTCTGAGATGCACTCTCACTTAGAAGCAATCGTATAAAGGAAGGAATTCATAGCCCTTACCGAATTCCTGCCGTTGAGTCCATCCCAACTCAAGACAACCGTCCCTTTGGGTGTCTGGGCTTATACATCTGCAGAGGAAGAGAAAGCATCATCTTTTTCCTGACGAGTGACTGGCAGATTCCCACTGGTGACCTTTTCATTAGCAACCCAGCATGGAACTCACTAAACCACCCAGGTTCAGTGTTTATCAAGAGGTTATGGGAGTAACTGATTTTGAACAAATAGCCTGACCCTTTTTAACAGAGAATGATTTCAAAACAAAGTACCTACTTTACTCTTCCCTTCCCTGATGGCTTTCATTCCCTGTATCTTTGTGTCAGTCTTAACCTTAAATGTGCTTATTTTTTGGAAATAGTTCCAGACCTATATGGATGATATTTCAATCATGATGAGGTAGAGCTTTTATACTCTCTTTCAACACCAACTTCCAAGCTGTATGGGCACTAGGTGTTGGAATTTGTGAAACAGAAATCAGATAAACACAGAACGATGCTGGTGGCATTTGTCTCTTTCTGTAGTTACTGATAACTACAGGATTTAAGGAAAATGGCATTAGGAATAGGTTGTATTTGTTACATACAGAGTGCTTGCTTGCTTTTTCAGCTAGTCTTTCTTCCATTACTTCATTCTGAATCCATATGCTAATGAATAGGAGTTAGAGTCGAGTAGTTTACTGTCAGAGACAGTGAAGTTGCGCAGCTTCCCATTTCTGGCTTTTAGTTTTAATATTTCATTAAACTAACTCAGATTCGACTAAAAAATTGAGTTTCAATTGTAACAGAGGAACGTATCAGGCAACCCCATCTCAGAAGTGACTGGTGGGTATTTGGGAATAGGTGAAAGTGTTGGGAGGAGATTTTGGTTGACAAAGAAAACCTGTGGTGATTTAGAGCATTTAATGTGTCACTGTTCAATTCTGTTTTGACTTCTTTCCCCTTGACATGAAGATGAAGGAACCTTTAAATCTTGGTTCTCTCCATTCTGAACACTTTTATGAAAAGGAAAATTTAATCTTACAATTCAGGTAAAAGACTTTCCTTTTACAGGATTGGTAAATTCTACTGTCTTTCAGAATGTCCACCTGGTAGCCAAGTGGCTAGGAACCTTGGAGAAACTCCTTGAAAGATTCAGCCAAGGAAGCCACGAGGATTATAGGGTGTTCATGAGTGCTGAGTCGGCACCCACCCCAAGTGAGCATCTTATCCCCCAGGGGCTCCTGGAAAATTCCATTAAAATCACCAATGAACCTCCCACAGGAATGCAGGCCAATTTGCATGCTGCCCTCTACAACTTTGATCAGGTAAGAAAACAGGAAGCCTGATCTTACAATAAAATCCGTCTTCTCACAAGGTTATGTGGGCCATCACTCATGGAAGGGATGAAGGAAGATCTTTGGGCTTTTCTCTGTGTGTTCGTATGTTTACATGTGTGTGTGCATGTATCTGTCAGAGACAGAAAGTTTTAATCCCTTAAAAGAATTGCTTGCCATTTCCTATTCCAATGATGAGGAAATATATTTATGTTTCATCTTAAAACTATAAAGGTAATGTTGTCATTGTTAGTATTATTTGTGTTGTTGTTACTGTATCAACCACAATTCAAGTGATCCTGAGAACCACAGATTGAACCTTGCCGTATCCTGTACCATCCTAATGCTCTCTGATATGTTCATTGTTACGTCACTGTGTCAATCATCGAGTTGAGGGGTTTCCTCTTTCTCTGGCCCTCCTTTCCCACCATGATGTGCTTTTCTCAACGTGAAGACTGAACCCTCCCAAAACATGGTAAAAGTATGTGAGATGAGGTGTCACCATCTTTGTCACTAAGGAACACCCTGGTTGCATTTCCTCCCAGACAGTTCTTTTGGGAGTCTGTGGCATATACAGTACTCTTCTCCAACACCACAACTCAAAAGCATCAATTCTTCTTCTGTTATCCTTATTCATTGTGCAGCGCTTTGGTGCATAACCAAGTGATTGAAAAGACCATGGCCTGCGTCAGGCACACCTTAGTCTTTCAATTGGCATAATTCTCCTGAGCACATTGGAGAGGTCCTTGATAGCAGATCTTTCCCTAGCTAGCATATCTTCTTACCATGCTATACCATGAATAACCTGCATGAACTTCTGGAAGTTCCCTATCAATTTTGCATTCTTTTCAACAGTGTTTTACTTACATGTGATATTAATGATACTATTTTATATCCACACTCTGTTGGATCCCCTTTCTTGGGAATGGGCACAAATATGGACTTCTTTCAATCCTTTGGCCAGACACTGTCCTCGAGATTTCCTGGCATAGACTGGTGAGTGTATCCAGGGCTGCATCTGTTAAAAGAAATAAGTTAATTGATATCACATTGATTCTTGGACACTTAATTTTAGCCAACTTTGAATGCAGCTTCCTCTTCCTCCTTTATCACCAGTGGCTCCTGCTCATATGGTACTTCCTGAAATTTTTCAGTGTCAGTAATTTCTTTCTGGTACAGTGACTCAGATGGATTCTGGCTGAAAGTAAAGAATACTAGAAAAGTGCCTATTTACAGTTTATTTACTGTGCAAAGCCATTTGGTTGTGTGGATCATAACAAGTTATGGCTAACATTGAGAAGAATGGGCATGCCAGAGTGCTTGTGTTCACGTGAAACCTATACTTAGAACAGGAGGTTATTGTGTGAACAGATCAAGGGTACACTATATGACTTAAAATTAAGAAGGGAGTATGTCAGGCTTATATTCTCTCTCCATACATATTCAATCTGTATGCTGAGCAAATTATTCAATAAGCTGGACTCTTTGAAGAGGAATGAGACATCAGGATCGAAGGACAACTCATCAAGAACCTGTGTTATGCAGATGACACACCTTGCTTGTTGAAAGTGAAGAGGATTTGAAGCATTTGTTGCAGAAGATCAAAGAATACAGCCTTCAATATGGATTGCATCTCAATGTCAAGAAAATAAAGGTTCTTAACACTGGACCAATAGACAACATAATGATAGTGGAGAAAAGATTGAAATTGTTAACAAGTTTATCTTACTTGGCTCCACAATTAACACCACTGGCACCAGTAGTCAAGAAATAAGGAGATGTATTGCACTAGGAAAGTCTGCAATTAGGGACCTCTTCAAATGATTAACGAGTAATGATGTCACTTTGAGGACTAAGGTGCATCCGATTCATGCCATGGTCTTTCTGATCACATGTTATACATCTGAGAGCTAGATGGTGAATAAGAACGACAGAAGAAGAATTTCTGTCTTTGAGCTGTGGTGTTGGAGGAGAACACTGAACATTCCATTGACTGCCAAAAGAACAAACAAATATGTCTTGGAGAGGAGGCAGCCAGTGTTCTCCGGAGGCAAAGATGATGAATCTTTGCCTCACATACTCCAGAGATGTTGCTAGCAGGGGCTAGTCATTGGAGAGACATGATGCTTGGAAGAGTGGAGTGTTAGCAGAGAAGAAGACCCTTAGACCCTTAACCAGGTAGATTGACATGGTGACTGTCCCAATAGGCTTTAAAGTGTCTGGAAGTGTAAGAACAGCATAGAATAGAACAAGGCTTAGATCTGTTGTTCACAGGGACACTAAGGGTCTAACTCGACTCTAAGACATCTAACAACAACAACATACCATGGATACTGATTGTGGATCCAAGTAAAATGAAATTGTTGAAAAGGAAAAGTCAATAGTGACATGGTTTAATTGGCAAACTAAGTGTCTATTTTTAGTAGCCTCATTTTTGTGACAGACTAATGTCTCCTGGGGAGCAGTGATGGCATAATTAATAGTGAGTTTTGCTGCTAACGCAAAGGCCGCACCTTTCTGTGGTCGAAGTCCACCAGCACCTCAGAGAAAGATGGACAGTCTCCTTTCATGAGATGTACAGCTTCAGAAACTTGCTGTAGGATAAGCTTAAGTTAATGCCAACCTGACAGCAAGGCCTTTGATTTGACCGAGTATCTCTTAGAAGTCCCTGGGTGGTGCAGTTAAGCATTGGACTATTAGCTGAAAAGTTGATTGTTTAAATTTTCCCAGAGGTACCTCAGAAGACAGGCCTGGTAAACTGCTTCCGAAAGATCACAGACCTCAAAACCTCACAGAGCAATTGTACTCCACACACAGGGGGCCATCATGAGTGCTCATCCACTTGACTGCAACATTAGAAGGGTTTTGGTTGGGTGGTTTTAGTTGGTTTTGTTGTGTTTTGGATGTTCTTTTTTAACTTTAATGTACTTTGAATGGAAGTTTACAGCAAAAACTGGTAGTTCTGGTGGGCTAGTGGTAAGAAACTGTGCTGCAAACCCAAAGGCACACAGTTCGAATCTACTAGCAGCTTTATCAAAGAAAGAAGGGCAGTCTCCTCCCATCTGATTGACTGCCTTTGAAAACCTGTCAGTTAGGAGTCAATTCTGACTCAATGGCACACACCAACAAAACGGTAGTAAGATTCTTCCAACATTCTCCTATGATTCTCTTTTCCATCCATCTTTCTATTATATTCCTTCCTGCCTTCAGAGCCTTCCCCCCCATCCCAACCTGGGAAAATATTTTCCTTTGATCTTGTATGATTGCTTAATCATTCACCTCAGAAGGGCATCTCTTGCCTGGCTGAAAATTGAGCCACAGAGTTTCATTTCCGCCTCCAAAGTCCATAGTTTCCAAGGTTTTACCAGTCTATTAGATCAAAAAGTCTGGTCACTTGTGCTATTTTGAGTTTTGTTGCAAGCAACAAGTATTATTATCACATAAATCCTTTCTTTGCTCTTGTTGGTGGTGATAGATTACATCAGGGTTACATGGGGAATGTTTCAGGGTATTTTCAGTATGGTTTTGATATTTAAACCCCTCTTTCCAAATTTTCAAGGGAGGTTACTTTCTTATTTCTATTATCAGTTTTATTCCAAAACAAATTAATACATGGACAAATAATACCCTTCTGATTTCATTCATTACTATTCTTCTCCTTATTAAATGATCACACATGTTTGTATCATAAACCTTTACCATGGCTTTCAATTTCCTTTGTTGCGATTGCTCTGAGTTCCTTTTCTTTCCTATAATTTCTTGGAAATCCTGGGTAAATAGCACTCTTATTAAGAGAATTGAGTCCTAAAGAGGAAATATATGGCTTAGTGATAACTATTCAGCCTCCTGTTACAAATGTATCCCTCTCCATGAAGCATGCCAGCATGCTTAACTTTCCTCTAGTACCTCCGGGCCAGTGCCCAAACTGACATTATGAGGGAATTATTATAATTGGCCACCTAAGAAAACAGTGTTGAAGAATACAGTTAATTACTTAATTAGATAATTGAGTAATTTGTAGCCTATATATACACAGGCAACTACATAAACACAGTGTACTTAAAAGTTGATTTTACTAAATATTTGCCATATGCTTTTGATGAACTATAATAAACATGTATTTGTTTTTCTCATCTTTTATAAATTTCTGACCATTTTTCACACTTGCAAGCTCTTTCCCAAAGCTTACCAAAGAGAAGTTTGATATGTTTAAAAAGGATTTAGTCAGCTCCATAAAACAATTGTCGTCATCCATAAATACTGAGCATTACATGAACAAAGATCTTTTGGTCCAATTGTCTTTAGCTTTTTGATAAAAGCCCCTTTTAGGATCTGATCTATAGATACTCTCCTCAAAGGAAGGACACATTTTAAAAATACTGTATATAATGATGGTTATACACAGACTCCTGATATTTATGTGTAAATTCCCCAAACTATAGCACTCTCATTACTCAGTATCTTTTTACTGCTACTTGGAAATTAATTTATGTCAATGGAAGATTACATAATTGCAAAGACAAGAACTTTAAGGAGGAAGATTACAATTCAGTGGGAAAAATGCTCTGAAATACTAAAATTACGTTTAATTTTTAAGTAGTAAAACCAATATGTTTCATTAAATAGACCTCTCATCAAATTTATTTTAGCCAAATTCAAACAAAAATGCTAAAGAAAAGTTAGACTTTAAGAGGAGTTTGTATTTGCTGTCCCATCATTTAGAAAACATAGAGTTGTTTCCTTGTGCTCCCTCACTATCTGCAAATAGGTTCCCTTCTTTTCAGTTGGAACCTATCAACTTGAGCATCTTACCATCATGAGGTTGACATATACCATCGTGGCCCAAAGTGGCTGCTGCTATTCTATCCCTCACATTAATTCTCCCTACAATAGAAGCATCAGTTCTTTATCTGGTAATTTATGCCTTTAAATTGTGGTGCTGGAGAAAAGTATTGAATATCCCATAGACTGCCAAAAGAACAAACAGATAA